AGCCTGAAAGGGGAACAGAGTCGCGTGACAGACACAGTGATGAAGCTGGTATGTGTTTGCAGTTCACAAGCTACGGTTAAGACAGCTGAATCTGTTATGTGACCCTGTATCTCTCTCTCTCTCTCTCTCTAACACACACGCGCGCGCACACACACACACTCCGCATTTGAACAGTCAATAGCAAATACTTAAACTAGTAACAAAACAGTAGCTGATTCAGAAGCGCCAGATTGTCATAGCAAAGTCAGAATTACCTCCTCTCCTAGGTTCACGAAACGGTCGTCCATAAAATGCATTGCTGTTCTGTTGTAAGTAATCTTAAAGATTCCTAAATGCATCTACTTTCGGAAGGCCAAATAAAGTGCTTTTGCTTTCACCTAGAAACACACAGCGTCTCCCTGACATGCTGCTTCAACACTAACTGCAGTTACTGAAACCACGCCTTCTTTCTTTGCGTGCACATTTGGGCAGCATTATGCAAATATTTCCACATAGTGAGGTAGATATGTGGGGGTGTGTTAGAACAAGCCGTTTTAGGGGGGGCGTGGCAGAAAGAATATCTCTTTGGTTTTGAGACTTTAGTCTTTGCAACTTCAGGGATCTTATCTATCTTATTATCACCTTGTAACACTCCAAAGAGAAAGGAAAACTTGAAATCACATCATATGACCCCTTTAAAATAAAGTGTGACCAAACTGCATCCTCTTTTCATGGGGAACAAACTTTGTAACATTAAAACAGTACATTCTATATAGTATGAATGTGTGTAATATGAATGAAAACTGGATGAAACCATTCACAAGTCCTCTCCTGTGGCCTCACTGGACATCAGATGCACACTTTTTTTCGCCTACACTCTTAACAATAAAGGTGCTTCAAAAGGTTCTTCAAGCGATGCCATCGAAGAACCATTTTTGGGTCCATAAATAACTATTCAGTCAAAGGTTCTTTAAAGAACCATCTCTTTCTTACCTTTTTATAATCTGAAGAACCTTCTTTCGCCACAAAGAACCTTTTGTGGAACAGAAAGGTTCTTCAGATGTTAAAGGTTCTTTATGGAACCATTTAGACAAAAAGGTTCTTCTATGGCATTGTGAAGCACCTTTATTTTTAAGAGTGTACTGTTTGATGAATTTGCACATACTTCTTATTTCTCACCTACTATATAGTAGGGAAGTAGGTATATTTGGAAGCAGGGATTGTCAAGTGTTGTCTTCAGAGACTGTTGATTTGTGTCTGTGGTGCTTGACCATCCCTCTTTTGCTTCCTGTCTGTTCAAATAAATGAACTAATTTCATGGTCTGACCGTTCATATAAGCCTTTTTTAATAGCTGAAAGAATATCACTTGTATGTAGTTTGGATCTGTTTCAGTAGAGTTAAATGGAGCGATTCTTTTCCAAATGTTAGCGGTAAACTCCCGAGGGAAGTTTTTTGGTGCTGTAATCAAAAAGAGGCAGACTAATTAAGTCCAATAAACCTGAAAGCCAAAAATGTAACAAATGTAATTGTGATTTACAGATGTAGTCTTTTTACTACTAATTAGATAGATGTTCCATTAACTCGGTTTTGCCCATTTTATGAACAACATTAACTCCGCAGCCTGTCTCTTGAGCAAACTGCTCCCTCTTATCTAATTTTCTCTGCATTGCCTCCAGTAATCTCTTTCACTCCTTCCTTTTCCAGGATCATTGCTTCTATCACGGGAGGGTCAGAGGTCACGCCGACTCATGGGTCGCTCTAAGCACATGTTTGGGAATGAGGTATGTCATGTCTTGCATAATTGGATTCTCTTCAGACACAATACGCTCAATTCATTCGGTCACATGTATTAGGAAGGCTAAAATGCCACATGGCTTAGTGTGATAAGCATGTAAACTGCTTGATTGTACGAACATCCTGTGAGCATTATGACTCTTTTTGTTTTTTTTCAGTTAGTTGTGTGAATAAGACTTTGTGAGCAAGTGTTTATGGGTTTGCATGGAAGCATGAAAGTACAAAATGCTCCATAGAGAGAAAGAAAATCTAGTTGGTACTCTGCGTTTGTGCTTGCAAAAAGTCGGCCATCTTTAATTTTGCATATGCAGCACAATTCTGTGTGCTTAATTTGTGAAGAACGGAAATGTTTTGGCCAGGTTATTGAATATGAGCACTGATGACTAATGCTGTGGCCCTACCAGAATGTTAATAGTTTGTTGTGCTCAGTCCTCATTCAGCACTGAACGCTTCCTCTCTACGTATAAACAATATCCACAAACAGCCTTGAAACTGCATCTGCCCCTGTCTGTTCCTGCTGAATCTAAACCTAATGCCAAGAGATACAAGCCAAACATCTGTGACTTTGAAACATACACAACTGACTGTTTTAAAAGTTTCACAAACCAAAGGTTTTGTCATGATAATAAATAAAGTATTGTTTTCATTTTACTACACATTTATTGTACTGGTGGGCTTTGACAAAGAGAACATGAAGGTCATGGATAACATAAGTTAAATATTCTTTATTGATGAAAAGTCATTACTTCATTATGCAACCATAAGTTTCATACACTTCATATACCCCTATCAGTCTGAGGTCAGTAAGATTTTTTCCCACAAAGAAATTAATACTTTTACTCGGCAAGGACATAGTGAAGACATTTATAATGTTGTTTTAAAAAGTGTTGTAAAATGAAACAAACAGTTTACATGAAAATATGAAGCAGCACATATGTTTTCAACATTTATTATAATAAAAAATGTATAATGAAGACTGGAGGCTGCTGAAAACTGAGTTTTGTCATCACAGGAATAAATATAAAACAATGGATAGTGATAATATTACTGTTTTACTATATTTTTAATTAAATAAATGCAGCATTGGTGAGCAAAAAAGACTTCTTCTTTACAAATCATAAAAAAAATCTTACAGACCCCAAACTACTGAATGGTAGTGTATTGTATATACATTTTTGATTATACATGAACTACTGATCATCAGATAATATTTTTAGTGGCTTGATAAAGAAAGTTATAGCAGCACAATTCTGTGTGCTTAATTTGTGAAGAACGGAAATGTTTTGGCCAGGTTATTGAATATGAGCACTGATGACTAATGCTGTGGCCCTACCAGAATGTTAATAGTTTGTTGTGCTCAGTCCTCATTCAGCACTGAACGCTTCCTCTCTACGTATAAACAATATCCACAAACAGCCTTGAAACTGCATCTGCCCCTGTCTGTTCCTGCTGAATCTAAACCTAATGCCAAGAGATACAAGCCAAACATCTGTGACTTTGAAACATACACAACTGACTGTTTTAAAAGTTTCACAAACCAAAGGTTTTGTCATGATAATAAATAAAGGATTGTTTTCATTTTACTACACATTTATTGTACTGGTGGGCTTTGACAAAGAGAACATGAAGGTCATGGATAACATAAGTTAAATATTCTTTATTGATGAAAAGTCATTACTTCATTATGCAACCATAAGTTTCATACACTTCATATACCCCTATCAGTCTGAGGTCAGTAAGATTTTTTCCCACAAAGAAATTAATACTTTTACTCGGCAAGGACATAGTGAAGACATTTATAATGTCTTCAAACAGTTTACATGAAAATATGAAGCAGCACATATGTTTTCAACATTTATTATAATAAAAAATGTATAATGAAGACTGGAGGCTGCTGAAAACTGAGTTTTGTCATCACAGGAATAAATATAAAACAATGGATAGTGATAATATTACTGTTTTACTATATTTTTAATTAAATAAATGCAGCATTGGTGAGCAAAAAAGACTTCTTCTTTACAAATCATAAAAAAAATCTTACAGACCCCAAACTACTGAATGGTAGTGTATTGTATATACATTTTTGATTATACATGAACTACTGATCATCAGATAATATTTTTAGTGGCTTGATAAAGAAAGTTATAATGACGTAATATCCGGAAAGAAGCTGTAGAGAGAGAGAGAAAAAAACACATTTAAAAACGATTTAAATAATTTGAAATACCAAAGATGTGTTGGCTACATAATTTGGTTAAATGTGGCTAGATGATAAATGCAACTGCCGTTTACTCTGGAAGATTGTGTGAAATCAGAGAACCGCATTCAGGATAGTTGTGGGATGAATCAGCGTACCCTAAAGTGTGTTTGCTTTCATTCCTGATCATTCAGTGCATAGACTATGAGAGCAGTCGCTCTTTTGACATCCAGAGTTTGTTGTAATATATATTGAGTTGAGTAGCCAGTTATATGAAAATAAAAGAGTTTTTAAGGGCAAAGCCCTGGAGAGTCCGTCTCTTGATATTGCCAAAGGTCTTGAATTTCTTATGAAGGCAGATCAAGTCATTGAACAGCTGTTGCAAGATTTTGTAAGAGCAAACATAATTAGCACTGTATGTTTTCATATGGCTTTTCTCAAGGCGACTGTTGGGTTTCTTTACCCTCAGCTCATTGGAGGTCATGTGTTGATGTGTACCATAGTCTGCAGAGGCATCGGTCCATTTAAAAATTTGACAGTAATGTAGTTGATTGATTTAAATATGTATTTTATTATTTATTATTTCATGAATATCATTACATTTAAGCCAAGGTAAATCAAATCACAGCCAAATTTGCCTACAGTTTTAGTGTCAGTAACTATTATAAAGCTATACCCTGAGTCATTTCTGCTTGCCTGTTGTTGTCAACTTGGGAAAAATGACAATCCTCATTTTGAAGATAATAGTTGGATGCCCTGGGGTGTAAACAAATGTTTTTTTTGACTAAATGGATTTGGACAAAACACATTTCCAATAACCATAAATCTATTTTGTAAACAAGAATAAAACAAATTAAAACAAATTCAACAGTGGAATTACTGTGGAACAGTAGTTTATTTTATCTCTTTACATTTAGTAAACCTTTTGAAAGATCCTGTTTATATTAGAATACATTAGTACTTCTGCCAGCGATGCTTTGCTGATGATAAAAGTTCTTGTTCTTAATTGATAAATTAAATAAAAAAGGCTGCATTTCTTTGATCTTATTATTGTACTTTAAAATAAAAGTTTTGTATATTAATATATTTTAAAATGTAATGTATTCCTGTGATTGCAAAGCTTACTCTAGTCTTCATCCTACATCCTGATCCTACAGAAATCATTCTAATATGTTGCTTTGGTGTTCAAGAAACATTTTTGTTGAAAACAGTCGTGATGCTTAATATCTTAGTAAAAGCAGAGATTGCAGTTTTTTTTAAAGGGGTCCTATTATGCTCTTTTACAAAGTCTTGATTTTGTGTTGGGGGTGTACTAGAACAGGCTCTCATACTAGGTTGTTCGAAAAACACATTATTTTTCACATAATTTATATTAATACAACACCTCTCTCCCCAGTCTGGCATGAACGGCTCAAATAGTTCCTGTAGCAAATGAAGGCCCGCCTTCTGAAATATGAAATGTGCTGTGATTGGTTAGCTGGGCCAGTGTGTGTTGTGATTGGCAGCACTCGGCACCTGGTCGGGAAATGTCACGCCCCTTACCATAGCCACCTGCGAGCTTCAGTGTAAATATTGCGTCAATACCAAATCAATTTGAGATGATTTAAACCCGGATGATTGTAACCACTCTAAGTTCGTCTGCCTTGGGAAAGCTAGCGTGTCTCAGACATAGTGCCTTCTATGAACACTCGTTGTCTTCTCTAGTGCAGCCCAACCAGGTCTCATCCCATTTGTCCGTATTTGTGATATCACAAATCCCGGAAAATATGCATTGTAGTCCAAACGAGTCGTTCGTTGTAGTTTTTGAAAAGTGATTTCTGTTCAATAAAATATCTCCTTTTGAAGTGGACTTTGAGCTTTGTAACTTCGCATATCTTTTTTATGCTCAAACAGCAACATTGCAGACTAACTAAAGTTGAAAAAGTGAAAAAGCATAATAGGACCCCTTTAAGGATTATCTGATAAATATATATATATATTTTAAATCTTGCTGAACCTAAACCTTTGATTTGTATTCTACATAACCCCTTTAAGGATTATCTGATAAATATATATATATATTTTAAATCTTGCTGAACCTAAACCTTTGATTTGTATTCTACATAACCCCTTTAAGGATTATCTGATAAATATATATATATATTTTAAATCTTGCTGAACCTAAACCTTTGATTTGTATTCTACATAACCCCTTTAAGGATTATCTGATAAATATATATATATATTTTAAATCTTGCTGAACCTAAACCTTTGATTTGTATTCTACATAACCCCTTTAAGGATTATCTGATAAATATATATATATATTTTAAATCTTGCTGAACCTAAACCTTTGATTTGTATTCTAAATAAGTAAATCAAACTCTAAAGACCTTGTCCCAAATTCAGCCCCAAGTCCTTGCCGTTGTGCTGCATAAGCTGTTGAATAGTGGTCCACTGTGGAACCCACATCATTGCAGACTCGACGAAAATGCATATTGAGGACACATCGTAGGCACAAAGGGGGAGACTCGAGAACACCAATCTGAAATGGCAAATAGGTCACCCTGCAGTCTCATGGACTTTATTTTTAACATATTTTTCAAATGTACTGTTTGAAAACTTTTTACAGAGGTCAAATTTAGAATGGTTCTGTAGAGGTGCTTTGGGAGACCGCAAATCCAGCAGCGTTTCAGCGGCCCTTCTGATCTCTCTGATTAGTTAATGCATAACTACTTAATGCCGTTAACTGTACTGAGGCTAAAAGAAGGATGAAGAGGCATTAAAATTCCACTCTGTGTGTCCATATATGTTTGTAAAAGAAAGATCAACTGAAAATGAACTAATAGATATGCACATCTCTTTTACTGGCATTCTTAAATATCACTAGTTAGGGCAAAACCTTACTAAAACAAATTCTGCCATCATTTACTCACCCTCATGTTGTTCAAAACTTGTATGACTTTTTGTTTTTTTTTGTCCATACAATGAAAGTCAATGGGGTCCAAGGTTATTTGGGGTCCAAAATATCTTTATTTATTAAGAAATAAAGTCAAACAGCTTTGGAACCACATGAAGGTGAGTAAATGACTGACAGTTGACAGAAGTTTAACAAGAGATCATTTGAGCTGACATTACTCCGATTTCCTTTTGCAGAGGTTTGATTGTCTTGAACTCTAATGGTACATACTACCTGGAGCCAATCGGAGGCCAGGAGGTTCTCCACCACACCTTCTATCGCACTGAAGACCTGCCGTTCAAAACCGGCACCTGTGGACACAGCCATCAGACTGGACACATCAGCCTGTTCAGTGGTCATCTTAAACCTTTGCATCAAAGGGTCAGTCAGAAATTAAATCAGTTTGATTTATGATGTGTCCCATGTCATAATTTGTGACCCTGGACCACAAAACCAGTCATAAGTAGCACGGGTATATTTGTAGCAATAGCTAAAATTACATTGTATGGGTCAAAATAATCGATTTTTCTTTTATGATAAAAATCATTAGGATATTAAGTAAAAATCATGTTCCGTGAAGATATTTTATAGATTTGCAACTAGGGATGCATCGATCCGATACTCAGTATCGTTATCGGCTCCGATACTGGCATTTTCTACCGGATTGGGTATCGGTCAGATGAGACCGATCCAAATCCGATATTCTGCGTATACTATTCTGTGTTATTGTTAAGCCTCACGAAAGCACAAAAACATTATAAAGCACCATAAAGTCAAAGTCCAAGTGTTCTGAAGCCATTCCATAGTTTAATGTGAGGTACAGATTAATATTTAAGTCGTTAAAATCAAGTTCACGTAAACTCTTCTCTCCGCAGCAGCTGTTTGTCATCCTCCATTCCAGGGGTTCTCAATCGGGGGGTCGTGGCCCACTAGGGGGCCTCAGTGATCCTCCAGGGGGGCCACGAGATGGCTTAAAATTCATTTAAATATTATCCTATAATTGTTTAATTTCATTATTAATGTGTTAAATTAAAATGATCAAAGCACAGCCTCTCTCGTGTTCTGTGATTGATTGCTTTGCAAGCCTCATCACACTGTTAAATACAGACTGAACGGCGGCTCAAAACTTGCAACCCCTGCATGCAAACTACATCTCTCGGCTGCATGAAGCAAACTGTTGTGCTAATGTAAAGGTAAAGACGATTAGAGTAATAATAACGAACTTGCGCGTGTCCAATGTATGACACTCCTGTATATCAGAGTCGTACATTAGGCACGCGTTATTGATTCACAAACTATGCGAGCTCTCGGGGCTCTGATCCCTATCGTATTTTTGTGTGAAATTTCAATATATTTGCATAGTTGTCCCAATTCATGTCCTCTGAGTGTTTTATAATGGATGCTCACCCATAGAGGAGGATCTTGTGAGGCTCAGTGGTGTTTATGCACATATGAGCATCAGACGCTCTCTGAGGGAGGTACTGTTCACTGATCCCGTCTTCGCCGATCTGCCTTCAGATCGATGTGTTTCAAAAGATTTAGAATAAATGTGCAGTATTTTTCATTTGTATGTTTTTTTTTTAATGGATACAAACAGTATATATTCAGTCAGTCCAGTTCAAAGGGACAGGTTTAGTGAATGGTCTTTTGGCATCTCCCTGTTGTCCTGTTTGGTATGGCAGGTTCACTTTTTAAAGAAAAAGTACTCTGAAGTTGTAAAGAATGTCTGAAGTGAAGAATTCAGGAGCTTTAAATCGATATATGTATATATATTATTTTAAAAAGTTAGAATTGAGCAGAGGGTTTTATTTTAAGTTATAAAGTATAGCTTTAATTTAAAGTTTGTTTGAATTTTGAGTTTTTTTTTATATATCATGCAGTAGAAGAATAGTAAGGCAAAACAAATGTTTTGATTAATAAAAAAGGTTTAAAAATAAACACTTTTCTCTTTGCTGCGGAAAAGGAAATGTCAGGCATAGGGGGGCCTTGCAAAATTGACCGGAGAAAGAGGGGGGCCCCGGAGGAAAAAAGGTTGAGAACCCCTGCTCCATTCAACATTCACACTAGGGCTGCACAATTAATCAAATTTCTAATCGCGATTAAAATTATGGATGCCACAATTACGTAATTGTTCAAAGCGGCAATTAAACGTTCAAAGTCCACTTATGTTATTCTGCACACTTAAGATATGTTTTTTTCTTTCGACATTGTTATCTTAAGCGTTTTTCCATTGTTTTAGTTTTAGTATAACATTATAATACCATTCATATTTTATTTTAAAGAAGAAACCAATCCGATGTATATTTGACATTTGAGGTTTAATATAGAAAAGCACTAAAGGTTTTTCAGTTAGAGTGTTTTCAGCTTGTTTATTTTCATATAAAAATACGGCATGCAGTTGCATCAAACAATGGTATAAACATCATTCAATGTAAATTGTGATAATCATAATTAATAATCGCAATTACAATTTCAAGGGAATAATCGACAATTATGATTTTTGTCATAATCGTGCAGCCCTAATTCACACTGTGGGTCACGTTCGGTTACGACAAATGAAACTCTCTTCAAGAGCGCACAGTAACTGAAATTTAAAACTGTTAAAAGAAAAGGCTCAATAAACTATCGCACAGATTTAATAAACTACGCATCAATATCTCTTGCCTTTGTGCTTTGAACTTCTCTATGCGTAGTGTTCATTAAAATGAAGTTGTCTATATTTAGTAGATTGTGTTTAACACACAAAAGAGTGACGATCAGGTCAACACACAGAAGTATAGAAATTCTATATTGATTAAAAAAAACTGCACTGGTATCGGATCGGAATCAGCCAATACTCAGAATTTTCTGTATCGGATCAAATCTGAAAAAAAAAATTATCATTGCATCCCTATTCCCTACCCTAAATATATTAAAACTTCATTTTTGATAAGTAATATGCATTGCTAAAAACTTCATTTGGACAGCTTTAAAGGCAATTTTCTCAGTATTTTGATTTTTTTGCACCCTCAAATTCCAGATTCTCAAATAGTTGTATCTCGGCCAAATATTGTCCTATCCTAACAAACCATACATCAATGGAAAGCTTATTTATTTAGATTTCAGATGATGTATAAATGCCAACTTCAAAAAATTGACCCTTAGGACTGGTTTTGTGGTCCAGGATCACATTTAACAGCTGATAAAATGAAAAGACTTGGTAATAAATGTTGATGTTTACAATATATTTCACTAAAGTAGATGTCATGCAAAAGTGTCTTTAAGTAGTCCTTTCCACAGGTGACCAAAAAGTCTCATTTTGTAAAGCAGCTCTCACTAGATTGTAAGCATAATAGTCATTAGGGAAATAACAGTGAGTCATTACCATCATTATTAAGTGTGTAACGTTTCTATTTCTGATCTCATGAGTGGATTGTGTGTGATGTCAGAGAAGATTTCTCTCTTACAATAGCAAGGATGTTCTGTTCCCTCCAATCTATAATAGCTAGATAGACCACTCACGAAAGAGAACATTGCGGTCTGACGCCGAGCTGTTGTGTTGCATTGTGCGTCAGTAATTTTATTTGTTCCCGTAATGTGCTGCAGAAAGAAAAATGGGTTTTGGCTCATTACAGTACAGAAATAAAGCCATCTTAAGCCCAGGTTAAGTGTTTAGACTGATGAAGTGCATAATGTGGGCTTATTATAAAACTCTTGAGGATCATTAGCAGGAGTTGGGAGCCCTCCTACTGCTATTGTTCTGCTTGCACTTGCTTTCTCATTAAAGCCGAGCATTAGAGACTTCTAACTGGCCTGCTGTTTACAAATGAGAATCAGAGGGTCCATAAATTAATAAACAGTGCGGACTAATGTGCTCACTCCTCAGTGATGATGTATTCCTGGTACAATTGGATTACAAAGTTCCTGAATCTTGAAGTTCATATATACTGTAGTACAGTATGTCCCTGTGTAGGTTTTAGTCTTTAATTGCCACAGATCTCATGTGTACAGAATCATATCAACACTATTTTGGGAATTTCACTTTGTCGAATGACTCAACTTGTTTCTCCTTGGCTCTTTGTAGTTGGTGCTGTGTCCTCCACAATAAAAACAAGTCCATGGCATTTTGTACATAGAAAAAATATATATATTTTTTTCCAACAGAATGATTACATTTCCAAAGATTTCCATCCCTGTTGCTAATAACAAACAAGTTCCTGACGAGACTCATTTTGGAATGCAGAGTTCCGATTTTTATTGCTTATGAACATTTATCAACTTGCACTTTTATTTTCCACTGGTTGCCAAGGAAGATGACTTATATGTACAGTCTGTTCTTCCACTTATTTTACTGTTTCACTCACATTTTATTTACTGCTTGGTTACTGTAAAGTGCTTGCTGTCACTTTGTGACGACTGAATACTTTTGTGATTACTGTGCCAATGCATTCTTTCAAATGAATTAGACCCGTCAATTAAAATGCAAATAAAATTGAACATGAAGAACTGCAGTGATGGCAAGCATTGAAAACTAAACACATTGCTAAAATATTGTTGCATACAGTTTTGTAGATTTTGTAGTCAGTTTGTAAAACCTTTTTTTGCACACAAACAACAATTAGCATTTACATTAAACTCATTTTATAGTAAATTCAATATGTGTGATTGAATACAATTGTCACTTCATTACTTGTTAAGTAGTTGCAGACATTTATTGTAGGTATGTAAAAGCAAGTGCCAAGAGACTTGAGAAACAAATCCAGAAATCCTGCCCTCCAGCAATTAACGTTTCATTTTGCTTGCCGTTTGTTTGTTTCTGTATTTATCCCCACCTCTAGGTTAGACGAAATGCCTGGGGTACTACAAAGTACATGGAACTGTATATAGTAGCTGACAACACACTGGTAAGCTGATGATTCCTGTGTCATGCTCACTTCCACTAATTAGATACTTCCACACAGTAAAGTTCACCACAGGAATTAAGGCTTTAAAGCTTCAAATACAGGCCGAGTTATATAAAATGTACTTTAGAACCGGTACTTTAAGCCTAGTGTTGCTTTCTCATTCAAATGTGGCCACTGAGCAGTTGCTGCTTAAATATAGAGCTTCGGAAGTGCCATTTTGCTCTCTCCCTCTCTTTTCTATCACTCCCATTGCCGATATCTTACATGTATGAGGAGTTGTCGAGACGTTATCAGTGAATTTAATAGTTTCATTTTTATTCCTCGGGTATGAGGGATGCATTTCGTAAGAGGCATGCAGACAATCTTTCAGTGTTACATTCTGTTGAGTTTTCTGATTGAGTTATTTCATACATTTACATCAAATCTGTATAATATCCACCAAAAGCCAAAGGAGGCAGAAGGTTATGTAAGATTTCATTATGGTTGGATTTAGTTCATCAAAATTCTCTGTAACAGGGTTTTTGCAATTTCTCAAGCAGGGTCTATGCATTTGTATGTTCGTCTTGATCAAATTGCCTCTTGTCTCTACAGTACAGAAAGCAAAACAAGGACCTTGACAAAACTAAAATGAGGATAATGGAAATTGCTAATTATGTAGATAAGGTATGTCAAGCCTGGGTGAATTTCTTTGGTTCAAAGGTTTTGTTGACTGTTTAGACTGCATATTTGTTTTCTGAATGCAAAATTCCTAGATGTCTGTATTATAATTATATTTAATAAAATAAATCCATTTACCATGTTCCTAATTGTTTGTTTTGGTCTGATCAGTTCTACAGGGAATTGAATATCCGTGTACCTCTGATTGGTCTAGAGGTTTGGACTGAACATGATCAGTGCATCATCAATGAGGAGCCAAATTCAACTCTTTGGTCCTTCCTACAGTGGAGACAGAAACTCAAATCTCGCAAGAAACATGACAATGCACAACTACTCACGTTAGTCACAATACACACCCACCTTCTGCACATATAGAACAAGACTGTCCTGTAATGTATTCTTAATGATGCTGGATCATCATATATTTTAAATATATATAATTAGTTACACTTTTTTGTTTTATTTAAAGGGATATTTCACCTAAAAACTGAAAAGCTTACATCGTTTACTCACCTTCTAGTTGTTCCAAAACTGTATGAAAAAAAAAACACATGAATGATTAAATTATAGCAGAACTGTAATTTTTGTCTGAACTATCCCTTTAAAGGGATAGAGAATGGCTCATACATTTTTATTGATATCATAGCTGAAAGTATATATTGTTTTCCTTGCAGTGGTGTGATTTTCAAGGGCACCACCATTGGCATGGCTCCGCTGGAGGGCATGTGCAGTCACGAGAACTCGGGCGGCATCAATGTGGTAAGAAGGCATACAGGCTTGCATCTGGAATAGGCTGTAAACACTGTGTAAATAGAATGTGTGTTTGTGTACAGCTCATGCAGGTATTTGATAAAGTGATCAATAGCTCCCACACACCTGATTAGCCTCTTATTGGTTCTATTACTTTGTGTGGCGGGGGAAGATCACTTTGCAGCATACTAATGAGTGGCGAAGCATTTCTTCTGGATATTACACATGGGTGGGGTCCTTCTACATTACATCAATATAACCGGCTTAGCCCTACTGAGATCATTGTACATGGAAAACGTCTCGGTTACGTATGGTAACCCTCGTTCCCTGAAGGAGGTACATTTTCCCAGTGTTATCCAGTCTTACTGATTGGGTAGTGCCGTAGCAGCAGTAGCTGGTCCTCTTGTGTTAAGCCCTGGCCTACGTCAAAAAGTAGGGGCGCAGGTGGCTTCCACGGGACACTGGAAGGGGCAGTACCTGTGGCCCTTTATTAGGGATCCCAATTCGTCGGTCATCCGACATGACGTCGGGAGTGACCGACTGAAAAGGAACATCTCGGTTACGTATGGTAACCCTCGTTCCCTGAAGGAGGTACATTTTCCCAGTGTTATCCAGTCTTACTGATTGGGTAGTGCCGTAGCAGCAGTAGCTGGTCCTCTTGTGTTAAGCCCTGGCCTACGTCAAAAAGTAGGGGCGCAGGTGGCTTCCACGGGACACTGGAAGGGGCAGTACCTGTGGCCCTTTATTAGGGATCCCAATTCGTCGGTCATCCGACATGACGTCGGGAGTGACCGACTGAAAAGGAACATCTCGGTTACGTATGGTAACCCTCGTTCCCTGAAGGAGGGAACGGAGACGTCCCGTCGCCACAGCGAAAACTTGAATATGTGCTGCATCTGCTGCCTACTTATACTCACGCTGTGATCAGCGGCAGCTGGATGCAATAATAGCATGCCAATGTGCATTGGCTCGTTTAGTTTACACTCAAAGTAGATTGGTCTCTCTAAGCGAGATCCCAATTTGTCGGTCATCCGACATGACGTCGGGAGTGACCGACTGAAAGGGAAAGTTTTTTTATGCCTGTCAACAATGGTTACATTGGTAGAAGTACTACCATAACTTATTATGAGAGTGAATTTGTTTAGTATGTGCTGTGTGACTGTTGTGTGACTGGAACTGCAGTCGACAGCTATTTATCAAGATATTGATATCTTTAGAAGTTTTGTTGTTGTTTGTTATAAATCCTTTAGGGGTTGAAAATAGCGATATTGTGTGCTTATAAAGTGATTTTGGTGAGAAGGAATAATATGATTTTTGACTGATATGATCTGAGAGGATGAAAATTATATAGCATATATTATTGAAATTATGTTTAAATAAAACATAATCAGTGTCACACAGGGACTTCTAGGAATATAATTTTCCTTTTGAGTACATGTTAACCAATCACAGTAACCATAAATTTCAATTCAATTCAAGTTTATTTGTATAGCGCTTTTCATGATACAAATCATTGCAAAGCAACTTTACAGCAAATTACGTTTCTACAATATTTAGTGGTAGCTTATCAGTGGTGACTGTCAGTTAATGTAGATATGGCAGAAATGTACGGAAAAATCAATTAAAGACGTAATCAATTAAAGACTTAATCAAACAGATGATGAACACTATTAACAGAAATTATTATATGATGCAATCAAACTTATAGCAAATTTTGGTAGTTCTGTATGTTGCTTCAGGGTTGGCATCATCTGAGGTTCTCTGAGGGGTTGCATCATCTCTTTTCAGGTGTTCTGGATCCAGACTGAAGCTTGTGTAAATCCTAGTTACCATGGGATGTCAATCCCAGCAGAAACAGAGAAACAAATAATTTCATACACAATTAGCGTAGCTGCTGTTCCAACCAAGCAAAATTGATTTGTTTAACGCAAGCTAAAGAATAATAATGTGCATTTGAGGGATGTATTTATGAGATGCATTATTTGAATGCTTGGCCAAAGAGATGTGTATTTAATCTAGATTTAAACAGAGAGTGTGTGTTTGAACCCCGAACGTTATCAGGAAGGCTATTCCAGAGTTTGGGAGCCAAATGCGAAAAAGCTCTACCTCCTTTAGTGGACTTTGCTATCCTAGGTACTTCCAAAAGTCCAGAGTTTTGCGACCTTAGGGAGCGTGATGGATTGTAGCGTGGTAGAAGACTAGTTAGGTACGCAGGAGCTAACCCATTAAGGGCCTTATAGGCAAGTAATAATATTTTATTTTCTAATAATATTAACAAGGGGCAACATGTATATTGAAAATAGCAAAGGACCTAGGACAGATCCTTGTGGCACTCCATATTTTACTGGTGATAATTGAGATGACTCCCCATTTAAATGAACAAAGTGGTAGTGATCAGACAGGTAGGATCTAAACCAGGGCTGCCCAAACTTGGTCCTGGAGAGCCGGTGTCCTGAAGAGTTTAGCTCCAACACCAATTAAACACACCTGAACCAGCTAATCAAGCTCTTACTAGGCATACTAGAAACTTAAAGGCAGGTGTGTTGAGGCAAGTTGGAGCTAAACTCTGCAGAACACCGGCCCTCCAGGACCGAGTTTGGGCAGCCCTGATCTAAACCATCTTAAAGCCTGCCCTTGAATACCTGTATAGTTTTGTAATCGATCTATGAGTATGTCATGATCTATAGTGTCGAACGCAGCACTAAGATCAAGTAAAACTGGCAATGAGATGCAGCCTTGGTCTGACGCAAAAAGCAAGTCATTTGTAATTTTAACAAGTGCAGTTTCTGTGCTATTGTGAAATTCTTAATAAAGATGATTTTTTTGCAGGAAGGAGCACAATTGAGCAGACACAACTTTTTCTAAAATTTTAGACATAAAAGGAAGATTTGAAATGGGTCTGTAATTTGCCAGTTCACTAGGATCTAGTTGTGGTTTCATAATAAGAGGCTTAATATCCGCCAGCTTGAATGGTTTTGGGACGTGACCTAAAGACAACAACGAGTTAATAATATGAATAATATTAAATGTACAATAATATTACACATAATGCAATGTTAAAACATTCATATTTTTTATTTTTAAAAGCAATTTACAGTTAACCAATTGCAGGTTACTGTAGCATTTTATTATTATTATTATTATTTTTTTTTTTATTCTTTTTATTTTTACAAAAATTTTTTTTTTTTTTTTTTACAAATTACAAAATTTTTTACAGTTAGTGAATATCGACTCACTGTTGGACATGTGTGGTCTTGTCCTGGACTATGGTTTGAGAATGCATTCCCTATCATAAATAGGCTCCTTCACATTCCTCAAATGCTTTAGAACCAGTATATGACAAGGACAATGTGGCTCCTAGGGAGAAATTTAGGAGATAGAAAATCCATAAGGAGAAATCATTTGTAATACAACTGCATGTCATATTTCAACATTGTTGTTATGGTGGCGATATTATCAGTGCCGTCTGTAAAAATCAACACTGCATGCCCTTTGCAGAGATATCCGTTTGTGCTCCTTTCTCTGGAAATATGTGTGAGTGTGTGCGTCTTTATGTTTTTGTCATGGTATGAAGATAAAAGAAAGGCCATTCTGTTTGCCCCAGCCAAGGTACTTAAATTACCACCTGCAGGTCAAAAAAACAACATCCTCTACAATTTATGGCATCATTGTAACATAACAAAGATGCCTTTGGAGATCAGAGATGTCCTCTGGGCTTCTACTGCCATTTACTTACCATAGTGTTGGAACCGTGGCAATGTGGCATAGCAATGACAGAAGCCTGTGGGCATCAAATAGACTGTATGTCCAATTTAAAGCATAAAATGTAAGTAATTTATTGCATGGCAGCGAGAGCGGCAAATACTCTAATCATGTATATTGAATTCATCATTTTAGACAGACTCTAAAAGCAGCAATTGTTTGTGTGATACCTGAGAAGGTAGCAAGTAAACAAGATACCATGAATATCTTGTACATCAATTTTGATATGGCGCCATCTATGATGGTATTCCATGGTAGTCTCAAGAGCAAATATCACATGTATATATATATATAAAAATTCTCTAGAAGAAAGAGGCATGTCCCAGAGACACACTCAGATCCATTCTGAGAACACTCATTTACTGACAGAAGGGGAAACATGATGTGTCAGGTGTTGTCAGCACACCAGTAGTTAAATGGAGTTGTAGAAATGTTCTGAGAGATCTGGTATAAATGGAGGACAGCAGGGTGCCCAGCACTGAGCCCTGTGGAACCCCAGTGTTAAGGGTTCAGCAGTTTTTCAGCTAACTGGGTAAGAACTAAGTAAGACATAAAACAGAAAAAAGCCTTTTTTTCTGGATAAAAATATAAAAATACAGCTGCTAGCATGAGATCAAAAGTGGCTGACATAAGCACATCATTTATGGCAAGGATAGTAGTTTTAGTAGAGTGAACTGGTTTGAAGCTTAATTGAGATTAAGTGGGTTAAGTGACCCCTTGCTTCTGGTGCAGTAGAGGAAAGGTAAGACAGAAGTTCAGAAGAGATCACTTGGCATAGAGAGGAGGAAAGTGTTTTTTACTTGTGAAAAACAGTTTGGGAAACTTCACTACTCTTTTCATTTTAAATCAAGCTTATTTTCATGATAATCATGTTACTGGATTCATTATAAACCGATGTTCAGCTGCATCTGCCTCAGTATCTATGGCTAACTGTAGTTGTTTAACAAATTGTAAGTTTTCCATCTTATTTCTACTAGTGCCTCTTTTGTTTTCAATCATTTTGATGCATAAAATGACATGTATCCCTTTATAAAATGGTCTCTACAGGCACCCCTTTCCAAAGGTTTTCAGCCGCTGTAGCAAAAAAGACTTGGACAACTACTTCCAGAAGGGAGGAGGAATGTGCCTGTTCAACATGCCCAACATGAAAGATCTGGTCGGTGGCAAGAGGTGTGGAAATGGCTTTGTAGAGGAAGGGGAGGAGTGTGACTGTGGAGAACCAGAGGTGATTTGTGCCTAAATTAATTATTGAATGGAATTACTTATTGATTTAGAGAATATTGAATCAGACCAATCATGAATTAATCATTTTTCCAAGAACAGTAGTGGGTATGAAGTACATGTAATAAATCTAAATTTGATAGTTAATATGGATTACCATTGATTATGCTTCATTTTTATGCGTTTATTATTTATTCATGGAATACTTGATATTATTTATGCAGTGTATTTTTTAAAATAATTTTTATTGTGAAGAGCTTTGCCTAACCAGCAAAAAGTTGTGTTTTTATCACATGGGAGGTCCAAACACAAGTGTTAGAACATAAATAGTTGAACTACAGCAGAAAAACTGTGCCGTAACAAAGCGTGACAGATGAAAGCGTACACCCCTTTCCAAAAGTTTTCAGTCGCTGTAGCAAAAAAGACTTGGACAACTACTTCCAGAAGGGAGGAGGAATGTGCCTGTTCAACATGCCCAACATGAAAGATCTGGTCGGTGGCAAGAGGTGTGGAAATGGCTTTGTAGAGGAAGGGGAGGAGTGTGACTGTGGAGAACCAGAGGTGATTTGTGCCTAAATTAATTATTGAATGGAATTACTTATTGATTTAGAGAATATTGAATCAGACCAATCATGAATTAATCATTTTTCCAAGAACAGTAGTGGGTATGATGTACATGTAATAAATCTAAATTTGATAGTTAATATGGATTACCATTGATTATGCTTCATTTTTATGCATTTATTATTTATTCATGAAATACTTGATATTATTTATGCAGTGTATTTTTTTAAATAATTTTTATTGTGAAGAGCTTTGCCTAACCAGCAAAAAGTTGTGTTTTTATCACATGGGAGGTCCAAACACAAGTGTTAGAACATAAATAGTTGAACTACAGCAGAAAAACTGTGCCGTAACAAAGCGTGACAGATGAAAGCGTGTGCGTTTTTATGTTTGCTTGCATGCCTGTAGAGAAAGAGGAGCGTCCCACCTTGCTGCAAAGCCGTATTTGACAGGCTGTCAGTGTGCATATAATGGCTGGGTGATTTGCCATCTGGTGCAGGTAGACTGAGGTAGCGTCTGTAACTCCTAGTCAATACATAAACACCTGGACTACTGTTCTGGATTTTACCTGCTGCCAATACCATATTCAATGAAACAACACCTCAACTATCACCTGACAGAAAAAGCTAGGTTGCAGCACTGAACTGAGAGCTGTTATCATACACTTTTGTTATAACCTTTAATCCAAACCATCATCTGCCGGCCCTCTCTACTTCCATGAATACACAAAAATAGATTTGATAGTGTAAGCCTGTCATGTACGCATGTCTTTTTTCATTATAGTCACTGAATCACACCATTAATTTATTTCTAGTGCAATAATCATAGCTGTCAGTCGCACTTGATGCTCTGAAACCATATCAAGCAGAATAGAGGTTGCCGTGTGTGTTTATGTGAGACCGAGAGAGACTGTGTGTGTGTGTGTGTTTGACAGAGCGTATATGTGTGTTGTGGATGTTTCCTCCTCATTAAACACCCTAAAACACCACATACACACTTCCTCCCCTTCCCCTATTCATTTTCAGCTGTACGGTATAATTATTGGCCATCAGACGCCTCCACTCTGTATATATCAGTATCATACATGTCAGACATTTTTATATGCATCTAACGTCCTGTGCAATTTCTCTTCTCGATTTATTCTTTTCCGCACTTTAATCATAGTGTGCAAACAGACACTGTGAGTGTGTGTATACAGTACATACATTATGCATGTATGTATATATACACTGTATTTATTGTGTTTTCACAACTTGCTCTAAGTGGCTTACCATGTAAGTTGAGGGTCATATGTTGATTTGCTTTGGTAGCCTTTATCTGAAGTACCAATTGTGTGTGTGTGTGTTTTCTGTCTCCCGCAGGAGTGCACCAATGATTGCTGTCACCCCAGCAATTGCACTTTGAAGGTGGATGCACAGTGTGCCCACGGGGTCTGCTGTGAGGACTGCAAGGTGCCTAACTATTTATCTGTCTATTTATCTATTTATTTATTTATTTCTCTCCCACTGCTTCCCTCTCTCACTCTGTTCTGACTCTCACTTAGTATGTTTCATACAAGTGGTCAAGGCTTAGAGAGTTAGCCTGTCCCTGTTAACCCCTGCTGGTAGAAGTCATAACTACACCGCCTGGCCGCAAAAAGCATCTTTCCCTATTGAAACCATTGCAAATTAGCTGTGTATTCTGAAGAAATTGCATTTTTGTAATCAACATATGTCATTGTATTACAGTAGATGTTTTACTAATTATTCACTTACAAGAACAATGAATAAATACTGTAACAAATATATTACTTATTGTTAATTAGTGTTAGTTAATGCATTAAAGCAGCACTATGTAACTTTTTCTGTGTTCAAAATTTGCTAAATGTATATGAGCGAGTACATCATGAATTCATCTTCCAAACCGCGTTTTTGTCTTATTCCGAATCTTATATTTGGACTATTGTAGCCTGGTGGAGTCGTCACCACTGCGGAGTAACACATACCTGCGTGAATCGCCATAGACATAAACTTAGAGAAGTAGCTTCTCTAGTTCAGTTTATTAACCGCTAGAGCGCCAAAAGTTACATAGTGCTGCTTTAACTAATGCTATCTAATATGACCTTATTGTAAAGTGTATATTTATTTATTAATTAATAATTTATGTGCTGCTCAAAATAGTGAAGGCCTTGTCTGTGTATCTACATTCTAGAGAAGCACCAGGCATCACAGTTTCATATCCACTGTTTCTCTGTAGTTTGCCCACCACTTGCTCTCTTTTTCTTTCATCAAAGTCCTCCAGTCTCCTTACCGTGCCCTCTGCCCACAGCTGAAGCAGGCCGGCACCATGTGCCGTGGAGCAGCCGGTGCCTGTGATCTGCCGGAATACTGCACAGGAGGTTCTCCCTACTGCCCCTCTAACGTTTATCTCCTGGATGGGTCATCGTGTCAGCATGGCCGTGCCTACTGCTATAATGGCATGTGTCTGACCCATGAACAGCAGTGCCTGCAGCTGTGGGGTTATGGTAAGCTGCGTGCTGTCTGGCCGTGTCTTTAGTTTGCAGGGAAATTACATTTGTAGGATCCAGTTCAGAAGTTATTGTGTTACTATGATAAGTTATTTTATTTAGCAAGAATGCATTAAATTGATCAAAAGTGACAGTGAAGACATTTATAATGTTTCAAAAGATTTCTATTTCAAATAAATGTTCTTTTGAACAGCTTTCTATTTATCACAGAATCCTGAAAAAAATCAGTTTCCACAAAAATATTAAGCAACACAACTGTTTTAACATTGATAATAATAAGAAATGTTTCTTAAGCACCAACATGGATCATGTGACACTGAAGACCGGAGAAATGGCTGCTGAAAATTCAGCTTTGTCATCACAGGAATAAATTACATTTTAAAATGTACTAAAATAGAAAACATATTTTAAATTGGAGTTTTACAATATTATTGTGTTACTGTATTTTTGATCACATAAATGCAGCGCAAGAGACTTATTTCAATAACACGAAAAAATATTTTGATCAATAGTACTGTATATCTGCATGCACTATATTACATGCTGCATGACTTATATTACGTTCATATATACCATTGTAATTACATTGTATTCCAAGCTAATTTAAAGAGTTAGTTTTTTTTTTATGTATGGTACTAACATGGTACCATGGTAATATTACGGTACTTCTTTGCTAATTGTCCCTTCCAGAAAAAGTTTTTGAATCCTAATTGACCCTTTCAGTGTTTAGTCAGCACTAATGATCAAATACTGCTTTATGTGGATTATGTAGTGAGAGCTCATGGCATTTGGCTGTACACCTCCAGTGTGTTCTGGGCTCATGTCCAGTCAAGCTCTTTGGCTATCAAACAGACTCAGATCACAGTAGACGTACTTTGTCATTTGGGGGGTGAGCGGGTGTTGACATGTTTGATGTTCACCGTGTATAACCAATATTATCATATTCACAAATTTTAACTGAGAAGTTAATGTTTTACTGGATTAAAAAAAAAAAAAATTATCAATGGATTATTTGTACCATGGCATGGTAGAACAAAATTAAATTGTGGTATTATGTATTATAAACACGTTTTAAAAACTTTTAGTCACTTAAAACCAATACTTCAGCTTCAATTGAATAAAATTATCCCTAACCAAATATTAGCTGGTGGCATGAAGCCAGCAGATCCATGTTCACACTACATGGTCTGTTAGAGTCCCAAACTGTAATTTACATTTCTCAGAGGTAATGTAGGTTTAACTGAGTAAACTAAATTTGTCCAGGTGCGCAGCCGGCACATGACGCCTGTTTTCAGGATGTGAACGCAGCAGGGAATGCCTTTGGAAACTGTGGTAAGGACAGTCATGGAAACTACGTAAAGTGTGAGAAAAGGTAAGGTGGTATTTCGTTATTTCAACCAGGCATTTAAGCAATAGTATGTGGTTTCTGTCAAAGAACTTGCCGACCTGAAGTGAAATCTGAAATCTCTGCAAACAGCAATTTGGTCTTGGACTTCTTTAAAACTGTTACAGCACAATTAATTATCTTGTGACTACAACTGTATATTATAAAGAACAAACTAATACATTATAAAGAACAAGCCAATCTAACTATTTATCTGTCTATTTATCTATTTATTTATTTATTTCTCTCCCACTGCTTCCCTCTCTCACTCTGTTCTGACTCTCACTTAGTATGTTTCATACAAGTGGTCAAGGCTTAGAGAGTTAGCCTGTCCCTGTTAACCCCTGCTGGTAGAAGTCATAACTACACCGCCTGGCCGCAAAAAGCATCTTTCCCTATTGAAACCATTGCAAATTAGCTGTGTATTCTGAAGAAATTGCATTTTTGTAATCAACATATGTCATTGTATTACAGTAGATGTTTTACTAATTATTCACTTACAAGAACAATGAATAAATACTGTAACAAATATATTACTTATTGTTAATTAGTGTTAGTTAATGCATTAAAGCAGCACTATGTAACTTTTTCTGTGTTCAAAATTTGCTAAATGTATATAATGAGCGAGTACATCATGAATTCATCTTCCAAACCGCGTTTTTGTCTTATTCCGAATCTTATATTTGGACTATTGTAGCCTGGTGGAGTCGTCACCACTGCGGAGTAACACATACCTGCGTGAATCGCCATAGACATAAACTTAGAGAAGTATCTTCTCTAGTTCAGTTTATTAACCGCTAGAGCGCCAAAAGTTACATAGTGCTGCTTTAACTAATGCTATCTAATATGACCTTATTGTAAAGTGTATATTTATTTATTAATTAATAATTTATGTGCTGCTCAAAATAGTGAAGGCCTTGTCTGTGTATCTACATTCTAGAGAAGCACCAGGCATCACAGTTTCATATCCACTGTTTCTCTGTAGTTTGCCCACCACTTGCTCTCTTTTTCTTTCATCAAAGTCCTCCAGTCTCCTTACCGTGCCCTCTGCCCACAGCTGAAGCAGGCCGGCACCATGTGCCGTGGAGCAGCCGGTGCCTGTGATCTGCCGGAATACTGCACAGGAGGTTCTCCCTACTGCCCCTCTAACGTTTATCTCCTGGATGGGTCATCGTGTCAGCATGGCCGTGCCTACTGCTATAATGGCATGTGTCTGACCCATGAACAGCAGTGCCTGCAGCTGTGGGGTTATGGTAAGCTGCGTGCTGTCTGGCCGTGTCTTTAGTTTGCAGGGAAATTACATTTGTAGGATCCAGTTCAGAAGTTATTGTGTTACTATGATAAGTTATTTTATTTAGCAAGAATGCATTAAATTGATCAAAAGTGACAGTGAAGACATTTATAATGTTTCGAAAGATTTCTATTTCAAATAAATGTTCTTTTGAACAGCTTTCTATTTATCACAGAATCCTGAAAAAATATTAAGCAACACAACTGTTTTAACATTGATAATAATAAGAAATGTTTCTTAAGCACCAACATGGATCATGTGACACTGAAGACCGGAGAAATGGCTGCTGAAAATTCAGCTTTGTCATCACAGGAATAAATTACATTTTAAAATGTACTAAAATAGAAAACATATTTTAAATTGGAGTTTTACAATATTATTGTGTTACTGTATTTTTGATCACATAAATGCAGCGCAAGAGACTTATTTCAATAACACGAAAAAATATTTTGATCAATAGTACTGTATATCTGCATGCACTATATTACATGCTGCATGACTTATATTACGTTCATATATACCATTGTAATTACATTGTATTCCAAGCTAATTTAAAGAGTTAGTTTTTTTTATGTATGGTACTAACATGGTACCATGGTAATATTACGGTACTTCTTTGCTAATTGTCCCTTCCAGAAAAAGTTTTTGAATCCTAATTGACCCTTTCAGTGTTTAGTCAGCACTAATGATCAAATACTGCTTTATGTGGATTATGTAGTGAGAGCTCATGGCATTTGGCTGTACACCTCCAGTGTGTTCTGGGCTCATGTCCAGTCAGGCTCTTTGGCTGTCAAACAGACACAGATCACAGCAGACGTACTTTGTCATTTGTGGGGTGAGGGGGTGTTGACATGTTTGATGTTCACTGTGTGTAAGTGATATTATCATATTCACTCATTTTAATTGAGCAGTTAATGTTTCACTGGACTGGATTTTGTGTAATCAATGGATTATTTCTAACATGGCATTGTCGAATAAAATAAAATTGTGGTATTATGTATTATAAACACGTTTTAAAAACTTTTAGTCACTTAAAACCAATACTTCAGCTTCAATTGAATAAAATTATCCCTAACCAAATATTAGCTGGTGGCATGAAGCCAGCAGATCCATGTTCACACTACATGGTCTGTTAGAGTCCCAAACTGTAATTTACATTTCTCAGAGGTAATGTAGGTTTAACTGAGTAAACTAAATTTGTCCAGGTGCGCAGCCGGCACATGACGCCTGTTTTCAGGATGTGAACGCAGCAGGGAATGCCTTTGGAAACTGTGGTAAGGACAGTCATGGAAACTACGTAAAGTGTGAGAAAAGGTAAGGTGGTATTTCGTTATTTCAACCAGGCATTTAAGCAATAGTATGTGGTTTCTGTCAAAGAACTTGCCGACCTGAAGTGAAATCTGAAATCTCTGCAAACAGCAATTTGGTCTTGGACTTCTTTAAAACTGTTACAGCACAATTAATTATCTTGTGACTACAACTGTATATTATAAAGAACAAACTAATACATTATAAAGAACAAGCCAATATATTTAAAAAAAGAGAGAGAGAGAACATGAGCAAACTAGTTCAAATAAGTTTATAAGGACAGCACTGCAGACTCAGTACTTTTTCAAACTTTTCCAAAGTTAGACAATTTTTTTTTCTGCTTATTCATCATTCTCAAAACAAATATGATTTTTAGATGATATATTATTTTTCATCCTATTATTATTTAATTTGCTTTCCTCATAGATGTATTTATGCTGAATAGCTGTGAGCAAAGATGACTAGTGATCCCTCATGACTTTCCATCTCTCATTTCAAATATCCCAACAGTGATGCCAAATGTGGTAAGATACAGTGCCACAGTGCTGCCAAGAAACCAAAGGGCACCAATGCTGTGTCCATAGACACCACTATCCGCACAGACGGCATTGAGGTGAAGTGCCGGGGCACATATGTTTACAGCACCCAAGATGGGCAGGGCGATCTTCCAGACCCTGGACTGGTCATGACGGGCACCAAGTGTGGAGAGGGGAAGGCAAGTTTCTTTCTTTTTTTTAAATTTAAGATGAGATATTTATTAAACAACATCTGTACTAATCAAGTGGAGATGTGTCTCAAAAATAAGTGTCTCAATGAAAGCAGTATTTTATGTTTTGCATTGAAGAGTTGATTTATTCTGTTGTTACTTGCCTTCAGGTGTGCAAAGATCGACGATGTCAAAATGCATCTTTTACTGAGTTACACACCTGCATCGCTCATTGCCATGGGCATGGGGTAAGCAGTCGTTATAAAACAACAACTGATAAACGTTAACTATATTTTTATTATATTAACTATATTATATTAATAACTACATTATATAATTAATTATATTATATTAATAACTATAATTTTAACTATATTATTAATCAGACCTTTACTATAGATAAGAAAACATATTTCAAAAATGTGGAACTTTTCATGTTTTATGCAGTGTCACTTGCCATATCTTTGTAATTATTTGTGAAATTTGCTTGCAGTACATTTTTTCAGTGTAGTGAAGTTTATTCTTTAAAAAAGTGTTGCTCTTGGAATAAAAAAGAAATAAAATTATATTTTTATATTTTTTAAAAGTCTTACCATTTGATGCAGTTTAGCTTCATTTGCTTAGTTTGTTTTAAGGGTATTTAGATACTGTACTGAAAAAAAACTGATTAAGAAAATTACTATTTGCTTAATATTTGGTGCTGACAATATTTGTTATTTAACATTGTCAGTGCTGCAGCTACTGGAAGACACTATTTATACAAAAAAGTTTTTTTTAAATTAATCATGTAAGCACTTCTCCTAAATTATGTCTAAATAAAGGCTATGTCTTAGTATTCCTTCTCCCTTTGAGTTCATCTTTAACCCAGACTGACTCATTGTGGATTTCACACCCCTAAATCCTTTAAAACCGCCCTCTGGGTTGCTCATTTCCCGACACATACCGCCTCTAATAAAAACCAACGCTTTTCTTATATTAGCAGAGCTATAGCATTTGATTTGTGTATTTTCTGGTCAAATAGACGTCAACAGCCTCCAAGCCGTATAAACTCAAATTCTGTCTTTCCTAATCCCTTTGCCCTCCCAAGATCGACGATGTCAAAATGCATCTTTTACTGAGTTACACACCTGCATCGCTCATTGCCATGGGCATGGGGTAAGCAGTCGTTATAAAACAACAACTGATAAACGTTAACTATATTTTTATTATATTAACTATATTATATTAATAACTACATTATATAATTAATTATATTATATTAATAACTATAATTTTAACTATATTATTAATCAGACCTTTACTATAGATAAGAAAACATATTTCAAAAATGTGGAACTTTTCATGTTTTATGCAGTGTCACTTGCCATATCTTTGTAATTATTTGTGAAATTTGCTTGCAGTACATTTTTTCAGTGTAGTGAAGTTTATTCTTTAAAAAAGTGTTGCTCTTGGAATAAAAAAGAAATAAAATTATATTTTTATATTTTTTAAAAGTCTTACCATTTGATGCAGTTTAGCTTCATTTGCTTAGTTTGTTTTAAGGGTATTTAGATACTGTACTGAAAAAAAACTGATTAAGAAAATTACTATTTGCTTAATATTTGGTGCTGACAATATTTGTTATTTAACATTGTCAGTGCTGCAGCTACTGGAAGACACTATTTATACAAAAAAGTTTTTTTTTAATTAATCATGTAAGCACTTCTCCTAAATTATGTCTAAATAAAGGCTATGTCTTAGTATTCCTTCTCCCTTTGAGTTCATCTTTAACCCAGACTGACTCATTGTGGATTTCACACCTCTAAATCCTTTAAAACCGCCCTCTGGGTTGCTCATTTCCCGACACATACCGCCTCTAATAAAAACCAACGCTTTTCTTATATTAGCAGAGCTATAGCATTTGATTTGTGTATTTTCTGGTCAAATAGACGTCAACAGCCTCCAAGCCGTATAAACTCAAATTCTGTCTTTCCTAATCCCTTTGCCCTCCCTCTGTCTCTCTCTTTTGTCAGCTTTTCTTTTATTTCTTGCTTATTTACCCAGTCGCTTTTCAAAAGGGCAGCCAAATACGCCAGGTCTTTGAGGGGAGATTAGAGATTCAGAAACTGCCTTTTTATTATCCATTTGCATTATCATTTGATTCATATTGATTGTATGGTTTAGGCAAGTGTGGATGGAGAATAAAGTGAGTGATCGTGCTATTTGCACACAGCACATTTTCTCTCCTTTCCACTGTTCCTGTCTTGCCTCTGGGTTAGATTGAAGCGTGTAAAATATTCTGTTAAAAGAAATTCCATTAAAGATGAAAGGCGGTATATTCTGTATTTGCCCTATACTCTAAAAGACATGACGGAAAACGTTCCCTGCAATGGTAGCAATGAAAGTGAGGATAGGTAAATGGCTGCGTGCGATTAAAAAAAAACTCAACAAATGTATATTGAAACCAAACAATTGTGAGCAGTTGTTTGTGGTGTACTTCAACCGAAAAGTCATGAGGAAAAGTGAATGCTGACAGGATTTCCGTTCCTGTAGGATGAACTCTCATTTATGAAGTGAAGTGACATGTGGCCAAGTATGGTGACCCATACTTGGAATTTGTGCTCTGCATTTAACCCATCCAAAGTGCACACACACAGCAGTGAACACACACCCAGAGCAGTGGGCAGCTATTTATGCTGCGGCGCCCGGGGAGCAGTTGGGGATTCGGTGCCTTGCTCAAGGGCACCTCAGTCGTGGTATTGAAGGTGGGAGAGAGTGCTGTACATTCACTCCCCCCACCTACAATCCCTGCCGGTACAAGACTCGAACCCACAACCTTTGGGTTACGAGTCTGACTCTCTAACCATTAGGCCACGTCTTATGGTCAAACACTTGCAGTGCAAAAGGCGTGTGAAAGTTACACCCCAACCTTCCAGATGGAAATTCTCATCCGCACTAATTCCTATGTGTGGTGTTGTTTTGCATGCAGGTGTGTAACAGTAATGGGAACTGCCACTGCAACCGTGGGTGGGCTCCCCCCTTCTGTGAGAAACCAGGACTCGGGGGAAGTGTGGACAGTGGACCTGTGCAGTATGACAGTGAGTTCACCTTAAGCTTTCAGTGCACATGTACCTCTGCTCTCACGTATTTCTCTCCTATTCTTTAATCCATCTTATAGATTTTATCACTCGTCTGCTCTCTCTCCCTCTTCCTCACTTTCCCTTTCTTCCTCACACCTCTTATCAGATGTCACCTTGACCATTAATCTGTACCGTCCAGCTTTTCTTTCCAGGACTCAAGCCAATGATATCTTTGCTTGTTGATACTTTTCAAGAGCAAATCTAAGAATTTATGAATTTAGGTAACACTTTAGATAAGGGAACACTATTCCCTATTAACTAGTTTCTTATTTGTGTGTGAATTACTAACACATTACCTGTTTATTTACTTATAAAGCTCATATTAATGCCTTATTCTGCATGACCAGATCTCTTAACAAGTGATCGGCCGATATTTATATTTTATAACCGATACCGATACCAATTATTTGCCTGTTTATGTGCCCGATAACCGATACGCAGAACCGATATTTATTTACTGTTATAAAGTAAATAAATGACTGAGTGAAGTAAATCCATACTTCATACCATCATCTTTAAAAAAGTGTTGAAAATTAGCAGTCTTTCATGTTAAATTTAATCTTCATATTACAACAATAAAAAACATTTTATTTAACGCATCAGCAGCAACACTAATATTAACAATAAGAAAAATACAGGTAGAAGGTCTAATGTTTTCAAATGGAGAAAATAAATAAAGGAAAGGAGTCATATAACTTCAAGCTGTTTAATAGGCTAAAGAGTGAAGAATAATTCACTGGATAATGTTAATTCACTGAATAATATTCTCTGGAATATTGAAATATAACAAACAAAACATCATATTTTATTGTATTTCTCAACTGGCATGTTATATCAGAATTACTAATAATGTTTTTGTCATTCTAGATTATGAAATGCGTGCTGACAAAGTGCTGTTTATGTATGCATTTACACAGAACTATACTCAAACTGTGATCGCTCGCGGAGATAATAAATAATTAATTTCCACAGAGTTGTATCTATTTAGATGTTTATTAGCGAAATAATGGTTATATAGTAAATGTTATTACAATTTAGGGTGTTTTAAACAAGTGAATCTTGTTAAAAGTTACATGCGGTGGCCGTGCTGGA